GGCAGGATCGTCTAGACCATGGAACCTAATAGTGTGAAGGAAGCATGGTTCACTTTAAGAAAGATGAAAGATGTCCTGCCACGTAGACACAAAGTTTTACTCCAAAGACTTTAATCGTAATTGTTTAATACTAAGAAAATTTCTGACAAATATGACCATCCTTAATTATAAAAGTAGTAAGCACACAAGAAAGTGGGAGAACATATCCCAGGGCTTCAATGGATAGAAAAGGCAAAGGATTCAAAGCTATCACTGATGTACTACACCTTGACTCATCCAATAAAGTTGTCAGCAAAGCTGACTTTTATATAATAAAGAAAAGGGAGAAGGCCTCTGGGGTCTGTGAAATGCTTTCTCAGCATCAAGCCGGGTACTGACCGCTAAAGTATTTGACGCTCGTTTGATGGATGAGAAAGAAAATTATGTGCCAGTAATTCCTTCTGTCATAGTCCTCAAAACCTACCCCAATACCAGAGACATTCAAGGACAAACATGATGGTTCCTTCTACCAGAAAATAAGAAGGCAAAAGATCAGTCAATAAATTCCTGGATCTGTAAGCCTCAGTTGAATTCCTTCCTTTACAAAGCCACATACAAAGGACTTCAGGATAATGAGAGAAACAAGCAGAGAGGAAGATGAAATATATAGTTGCAAACGGGTCTCTGAAAGGAGGAAGGTGAGCAGGGTAGATGAGATAACTCAGGGCTGTGAAGTGGAAATTACCAGCATGTAGTTTTCTGCTGTAATTTTCTCTTTTCTCTGATCCTAAACCAGCAGAGGCACCTTCCACAGAGGTGAGATTACCTTGTTGTATCAGTCATAAGATCTTACAGCTCAAGAACTCACATCCAGCTGCTGATGCTTTTTGATGGCATGGAGAGACAACCAAACAGTTATATGGTAAGCCTTTAATACTGACACCTCATCTCTTTCTAAGTGATGAAATAGCAACAGCTAGGGGATTCACATGCAGATGACTACTCTAAGTACACATGATCAAGCAAAATTCTCTGATCTCTGGAGAGAAGAGTCTATAGTGCCAGCTTTCTTTTTAAAACCATCCTAACACAGAAACTTCCAAGACCTTGAAGAATGAGATTTAAGAATAAGACATTTCAGAGTAAGAATTTCAAAAAACTCTTAATTTGGGGAATAGGCAAGCAAGAGGCTGAAATGGGAAGAATGGTGAATTCATTTCCATGGCAAGTGTCTAATGACTGTGTACTAGGAACATATTTCCTGCAAAATCAAAGGTAGCTTCACCTTCCAGAGGTAAAACGTAACATGCAGGGACTTATTTTTTGGCTGAAGGAAAGAAATGAGAATTTCTAGCTTTGATCTGAAGTAACTGAATTTTTAAAAGGATATTAAGACCAGTGGTGGAACCATGAAGGACCTCAGTATAGAAAGATCACTTTCCTGTTTTAAAACCAGCAAAACTTCATCCACTTACTCAGGAGAGTTCTGATGTATCTTATATTAACTATAATGGATAATGGACACCTCCATCAGAATGACTCTGTTCATTCTGTTCTTCACCCAAAATTTTAATAGGAGGATCCAGTGCATAAGGGTTAGGTAGGTAGGGTTTTGATAAGCAGCACAGAGTCTAGTTGGAAGCCTGTAGCTAGCGGTCCGCCCCAGGAGTTCAACATATACACCAGGGACCTGGGCGAGGGGACAGAGTGTACCCTCAGCAAGTTTGTGGATGATACTAAACCAGGAGTGTGGCTGATACAGGAGAAGGCTGTGATGCCATTCAGTGAGACCTGGACAGGCTGGAGAGCTGGGTGGAGAGGAACCTAATGAAATTCAACAAAGGCAAGTGTAGGGTCCTGCACCTAGGGAGGAATAACCCCAAGCACCAGTACAGGTTAGGGACCTACCTGCTGGGAAGCAGCTCTGCGGATAAGGACCTGGGAGTCCTGGTGGATGTCAAGCTCTCCATGAGCCAGCAATGTGCCCTCGTGGCCAAGAACGCCAATGGTATCCTGGGGTGCATTAAGAAGAGTGTGGCCAGCAGGTCGAGGGAGGTTCTCCTCTCCCTCTACTCTGCCCTGGTGAGGCCACATCTGGAGTTCTGTGTCCCGTTCTGGGCCCCGCAGTTCAAGAAAGACAGGGAACTACTGCAGAGAGTCCAGCGGAGGGCTACAAGGATGATTAGGGGACTGGAGCATCTCTCGTATGAAGAAAGGCTGAGAGAGCTGGGTCTGTTTAGGCTGGAGAAGAGAAGACTGAGAGGGGATCTCATCAATGCTTTTAAATATCTAAAGGGCCAGTGTCAAGAGGATGGGGCCAGATTCTTCTCAATGGTGCCCAGTGACAGGACCAGGGGCAATGGGCACAAACTGGAACACAGAAAGTTCCATCTCAACATGAGAAAAAACTTCTTCACTTTGAGCACTGGAACAGGCTGCCCAGAGAGGTTGTGGAGTCTCCTTCTCTGCAGATACTCAAAACCCACCTGGACGTGATCCTGTGCAACCTGCTGTAGGTGATCCTGCTTTAGCAGGGGGGTTGGACTAGATGATCTCCAGAGGTCCCTTCCAACCCCTACCATTGTGTGATTCTATGATTTCAGAACTACAAGAGAAAGAAGTTAACTGTCTAACTTTCACAATGCTTTAGAAAGAAAGAGGATTTTGGCATATTACTCTTTGTTTTCCTGATGCAAAGAGCTGTGGTATCATATACCATCATATACATCTTTTATTTTTATTTCACAGGTATGAATTACTGCTGACAAAAAACCACCCAGAATGTTGGAATATTGCTCTGTTAAACCATCATTACAGAAAATAAGGTTTGTAGTTCTTGTGTTTGCAACTGATTCATGAAGTTTGTATTGTATCCTTCACTTAAAAAAAAAAAAAAAAGTTGTTTGGAACATCTTTCCTTTTATAAATACTCGCTTTTTAGTTTTTCAAGTTTACAAATGTCAGTATGATCTAAACAGCAAATGTGCTTTATATCAATAACAAAAATATCCAGCAAGTCAAATTCCAGTAACTGTAACTGTTGCTTCCTCTTCCTATAATCTCTGTAAAAAGGCTAAAACTTCAGAATATTGATTCCTACTCTAGTCTGCAAAAGAATGCAGCATGTTTAAATCATTAACTCCTCAAGTGTTCCATCTTGCCTCCAATTTTCTAATTATTTAAATATGCCAGTATGGTTATTTTTATATCAAAGGCCAATGATATCCAAAGCCTTATGAAAAGTTTATGTCTACCTTCTTTTTAATTTAAGGAAAAACTTGACAGATTAATAATTTTTCAGGCACAGCAATATTACTGTAGTTAACTCTAATTTATGCAGCACGTCTGATTTCCCAGTTTAACTGTCATACCTTGTTCAACCCGTTCGTTTTGCCTGTATTCCGCTAAGATGCCAGAATTTCACGTGATGGGCATGTCATTTGCATAACAGTGAACATTATATTCATGCCACAGAAATCTCAAGTAAATATTCTATATTCCAAATCACTTCTAAAGCAAAGTTATTCTGGATTTGTTAAATTGATTATGTGAAGAACAAATGAGTGATGATTTGAAGATAAAATTCAGTGTATAAACGTTGTCATCTATGACATTTCACTATGCTAAAATCATAAAGGCCTGCCAGATTTCATTGCATTCATAATTAGAATGATTACATTGTAATTCAGGATGTGTTTTTCACAAAGATGAAGAGAATGAGTTTTAATACAGCCAAAGCCAGGTAAACCGAACAAGCCTACCAATGCAAGACAGATGTCAATTCAGATAAAGTTTATTTTCCTTTTCATAATGCAATTATGAACCAAAATTGACACCTGAAAGAAAAAATTTAAATACTGCAAAGAATGCAAACTTCACAAGAAGCGAACCTATAGCAAGAGTACTGTATACAACTATTTCAAAAAATTAGCTTTAACTCATAATTATAGCATCTTCATTTCATGGCAAACAAAAATGAATAGGATAATACTTCATAAATCTCTGAGAAATGACAAAAAACATTTCAGAAGTTAGTGTGCAAAACTTTAAGCAAAACATTCAAGCTACAACAAATCTCCAGCAGGCAATCTGTATTTATAATAAATATTTTGCCATATAATTAAACCTGTGTAAACACAAGAGGCTAGCAAACAGAAAAATTTCTATAAAGTACAATGAAGTCTATATAGCAATCTTAAACATGGTCTTACACACAATGTCCTTGTCCTGAGGTTTTGCTCCTATCTCTCATTTTTCTTATAAGCATATTTGTAGACTACAGCAGTTTATATAAACCGGGACCTGGCATGATATGATATATGATATGATATGATATGATATGACATGACATGACATGACATGACATGACAGAAAGACTCCAAAAGAATGTCCCAGCATAGTCTTCCCAGTTCACCCTCAGAGAGAGATCCAGTATTTGTCCATCAGTTCACAAAGCATGTTCAACTGTGTACAGCTGGAAGTCGTACTTAAGCCTAGATTCTCAATTAATTTCCCCCATGTCAATGTAGTACGTACTGCTAGATGGCAAATTGATGGCAAAATAATAGCAGAAAGATAAAAAGAGTAAACTTAGAGATAGAAGAACAGACTACTGTAAGAAAAAATATGCTCAGTTTTACAGTATGTTTTAGCCAAGTATTTCTTTCCAATTCATTTTGGGTTTGTGGATAAAATTCAATATTCTGAATATTTTCAAAAATGGTCCATGTTAAATTATAACTGCCTTAATCCAAAATGTTTCTGAGCAGAGAGACAGTAGTTATTTTAACGTTGGGTTATGATAGACATGACCTTATTTCTTTTGTAATAAAATGCAGATAGCAGTTTTGGAATGCTGTCAAATTATTTCACAGCTAGTGATTTTGCTTTATTGGACATCTGATACTTGCATGCATCATTTGGTGTTTTTCAGCAGTCCCTGTCTATAACAAAAGCAGGAGTATAACAGCAAAGCAACTCTTCTGTCAAGTCTCCAAATTAACAAAATAAAACTCACTTACCATGTTCCATCCTGGGTAGAGGTAGTCTGTCCCAACAAATTCAAAATAGTGAGCAAAACCTTCTTTCAACCACACATCCTCCCACCAAACTGGAGTCACAAGGTCACCAAACCACTGCAAAGAAAGATCAAATAAACAACCTTTAGGAAACCATGTTTGCATACGTCTCATTTATACAGAAGACATTCTTCACAAGTTTTAATAAAAACAGTAGTATGTACCACCCACTGAAACCCTGAAAACAGTAACTTTTTTTCATGTACTAATGAATTAAGCCTTTACAGGATGCACAAGTTACTGAAGAAAACATTAGAAAAGAACAAGCAGGGAAAAAGAAGCATTGAGGAGAGTATTCATAGTGTCTACTTTAGTTATCTACGGCAGATGCTCACCCAGGTTTAAGGGACTAACATATGCAATGGACAGAAAAAGGCTTCTAACTCAAGCAATCTGATTCATTACCTAGAAACTACACTATGTATAGCGTGAATTTCAAAAAACTGGGAACACAGTCTCCAAACTCAAGACGTAAATTTTAGCATTTCTTCCTCCACGATGTCTGCCCACTAAGATTTACAATACTACTGATGCTCCGTTCATTGGCTGGTTTCCTAAAGAAAGCAGTTTTATGCAATCGTGCCATCTCTCTGTGAGTAGGACTCAGATGCTTAAGAGCAGCTAGTTGATGCCACAGGGATTTCAAATAGCTGGGATGATCAGTGGAAGAGGAACGAGGACAAAAAATCAAAGGAAATCAGGCATCATCAATGGATGACGGAAGGATGACCCTGTTTAAATGATTGTAATGGACCTGTGCAACCTGGATCATCGTAACACCAGTGGTAAGAGCAGAAACACATATGCTATTACAAAAACATATTTCATACTCTCTGTAGCGTCTTTTTTGCCAAACCAATATGAAAACTTTCAGTAAAATTCTCTACTACTTTTTTTCTTAATGTGATTAGAAATGAGATTAATTCATAATCAACAGAGACAATTTTGAGCTTTCATGGAGTCATAAGATCTGAAAATACACAGCAAGGGAGCAGCAAACAAGTACTCCAGAGGGAGAGACTCGTGTCAGAGCAGAGGACTTGCTGCTGACACTGTAATGAGAGTGCAGAACAAATGAAAGCAGAGCTGGCCCGTAAGCAGTTTGCTTTCATGACGGTTGGCTTATTTGAAGGCTTTGTCTGGGACCTGAAAGAAAGATCTCGCTTCTGTGCATGTCTTTGTGGAGTGAGAATAGCACCAAGGAAGAATCAGTGCTGCAACGAGGATCCATAATGAAGTGAACACAGGGGCTCCAAAGAACAGACTATGAAACTGAGATTATCAGATTGCCACACAATGTTCAGTAAACAGGATTTGAACAAAAAAATGAAGTGAAATGTGACAATGATTGTCATTGACAACGAACTTAAGAATTTAGGGAGAAAAATGGGGTTGACAAAAGTCATATTCACACACCAAGTGAAACTAAACTTAATGGACACTCAGTGATTATAATCTAGTTGAAGGCTATCAATAAAGACAGATCCTGATACTTAACTGAAAAGACAAACACTGGAAATGCACTCATATAGATAATGCACTTTTCACAATTTGAAATGTTAGAGTAGCATACTACCAGAGGAGTATGAAAGTTACATTTATATTAGAATAGGTTGATTAAATGATTTCTAATGACAAATGGACTAAACACAATAGCACAGAGTTTATTTCTTGAATTACAAGAGGACTGCTGAACAAATATGAAACCAGCAACAGTCATGGTATGTTATGACTTTTCAGAGAGAGATTTAAAAAATAGAGGTTGTAAAGTTCATAATACATCCTCCGCTGACTCAAAAAAAAATTAATAACATTAATTTATGATGTTACAAAAGAGAATTTATAATACTCCTTTGTGAGTTTTCCAGGTTTATTTATTAATGAAACAATTAAAAAGTATTTGTTTAATTATCCACCTAAAGGCAGAAGTGTTTTACAGGCATTAAAACAGCATGTGATACCAATACGAAAATGCAGGGAATTTGCTTAACTAGTCTTGGAATACTGTCAGTTATAGTTATGAATGTCAGAGAAAGAGCAGTTCCAGAGACTGTAATTAATGAAGCCAAATTTTCCAGCAGAAAGGTGCTATTATCTTCCTAGGTGTTACATGTCTGAAAGGAAAACATTAAGTAAAGCACTTCGTTTATTTAAGTAATTGTTTATTTAGTTATTTGTGTATTTGACTACGGACACTATTTGTCTGGAGTGAAGATCGTTACTTCTTTTCATTTTGGAAAAGACGAATTGAAATGTATTGATTACATAAATTTCTCATCTCCCTCAGGTATTATGTTCAGCCTGACATGCAGAAGGCACTTATTTTACAGACACACTGAAAGGA